TGATGAAGGAGTGTTAATGTGAAGTTTACAGTTATCCAACAGATAAAAAACGGATTACCTGTTTCCCACCCTTCCTGTCGACAGACGGACAGACACGCACACAGACAGATATAATTAGTTAATTGGTTTCCCCGTTGTTTGATTGGCTCTCGGAACTCGTACCTTTGCTTCTCTTGCTGTGACTCTGTGCCTGCAGCTTCCCCGGGTCGGCCGCCATTAATAGCACCTGCGGCGAGCCGGCATGTCCCCGACTCCACAGAAGATACAGTCCCTCTCGTCCCTCCGGGTGCGGACACAGGCGGGGTGGCCGGTCGGGCTAAACGAGGCTTCTCTCCGCCCGGAGACCCGCCGATCTCCCCGCTACTGAATGGGACTGCAGTTGCCAGCCCCTGCCCAGGTACAGCTCTTCCAGTCTGGGTGCGATTTCCCGAAGAGCCCAGGCAGGGCTCCTGAGCGGACCCGCGTCCAGGGAAATTAAATGTTTTAGGGGTTAAAGCTGTCCCCGCGGTCCGGGTGCATATCTTTTGTTTATGAGCAAAAAAAACGAGCCAGAGGGCAGTTCCGCGGTCTGCTTTTAATTCGCCCACGGGTAGGTTAAAAAAAAAACACAAAACACCGCACGCTGGAGTAAAAATTAAAAATTCATGGTAAAAAAAAGAGGGACGTTTTCCAATCCAGCACGACAAACTCAATTAACTCGTGGAGGGGAGGGGGGGAGCGGGGTGGGGGTATTTAAACGCAGCGACTGATCTCCTCCGTCGGCCGACACCGCCTCCACCCGAGGACGACCGCAGCCGCTTTCTGTCGCGATCGTGCGCGGAGAGCGAATTACCTCGACATCAAGAAAAGGAGCCACCGGCCTCCATCAGACTGGGAGGACTGGCCGCCGGGACAAAGAGGGGCGCTCCGCGCTGCCTCGCACCCGGAAGACAGCACCTCCGCGGGGCAAGAGGGTGGACTCGGCCACAGAGCCACGAATCCAGCGGGCCAGAGAGCATTCTCCATTTCCAGCTTCCAAAGCAGGGCTTTTCTGTTCGCTTCAATTGTAACACGAACTAAATCTTGATTGTATTTTTTACTTTTTAAATAGTTTTTTATTTTTACTTTTAACGTGTTTATTGGTCTTACTGCTAATCCCCTGCTTTATTTAACCTAATGGAACATTCCAGGATGATCCAATTCAAGCATGAAAGGAGGGGGGGCAGCTTTCATTTCTTCCAAAAAGAGAATGGCAGCAAAAACCTTTTTTTTTAATCTCGAAATGAGAGACCATAAACGTTAAAATAGAGCCCGACCAATTCTAACAAAGCGTCAATCCTTCTCCGTGGAAATGTATGTGTATTCCACCCTAATTTCCCCAGACGTCGTTTGAACTGGTCTCCCTGGCTGCACGCATGAGCACTAAAGCTGCACTCGTAGTGGATTCTGGGATTTGTAGTCTTCTTTACCGAGGCCAATTGCATCGTTACCGTTTTCCAAGTTACAGCTAGACGCCAAGAGAAGGCTTCCAAGATCTAATTAGACTCTAGCTAGGCTTCCAATATTCTAATTAGAATATCAGCCATGATAATGAGCTGCTCCTTAATTAGTCGTTTTGGTGTTGCTGTTAGATTTAAATTAAGCATGCTGTATATATAACATATTATTAACAGACTGGCATATAAATACACAAGAAGGAACTAGAGAGCGGGAGACTAGCAGAGCCCATCAGATAAGAAACGGAGACCTTTCAAAGAGTGCAGATCCCTCTTCTGTCTCTACTGGGCGTCTTCCGTCTCCTCCCCCAGAAACGCATCAACAGCCAAAACGATCCTTAAGCTACGTTCGACCCCTCCCCTCGCCACTCAAATCTCACCGTTCCTCCACAGCCCCCCTGCCTTCCACCCCTCTCCCGGAGTTCTCCTCCCAGATTTCCGTCAGCTCCAGAAACGGAACAAAAATGCCAAATGCCAGTCCGTCCTGGCCACAGGGCGGTGTTCAACATGGCTAAAGCAGACAACAGTGAACCCGAGGTGCACGGCGCACCGCGGTCCTGTCTGCGACCACTTTATTCGCCCGAGAGAGAGAACAGCACGTGAAAAAAAAACACCAACATTAAATCGCAAACTGTTTACATAAATCAACGAGGCCTCTGAAAACTAAGATGAACTGCACATCAGTACACACAGTACAGTAGTTTGGGTCGGTAGAGAAGGCTCCACAGAAACGTTGCGTTTCTTTACTTCTCTTTTCAGCCTGGAATGAACCTTGACTTGTTCCTTTGCAGTAAATTAAATACAGTACGTCTATATCCATCCATTAGCAGAAAGCTGAGATTTCTGATGAAGTCACAGTGACTCAGAGCCTGTTCTGTATCCCACTCGAGATGAATCCCTGATTCCCAGCCCAGGAGTTATCCCGTAACCTGTCACAATTCCCATCCAAGATAGATCCTGGAGCCTGTCACAATTTCCACCTGTAATTAATCCCCAAACCTGTCCCGAATCCCACTTGAAATTAACCCCAGAACCTGTCCTGATTTCCATCAGGACTAATCCTGGAGCCTGTCCTGATTCCCACTTGAAATGAATCCCAGAAGCTGTCCCGATTCCCACTTGAAATTAATCCCAGAACCTGTCCTAAACACACCTGGCTGAGTTCCAGCAGGCAGAATTCAGGACAGTCTTGAATCAGGTTGTTTCTGCTGAATTACATCATTCTGTTACTTCAGGAATGAGGGTGTTCAAGCCAGAGACTGGTCATCCTCTCCCACCCCTGGTCCTTAACGAGACGCTCATTCAGAAAAAAACTGAAAATGCGCTCTCGCATCTCCCTTTAAAACTGATTTTTAAAAACAACTACATTTTAATTAGGCCCTTAATTGAAGCAGTGAACTGGCTAATTAAACCATTTTAATTGTGTTCAATTTAATTGTGCTCAGGATGGAAGGTTTCTCTTTCATCCTTGTGAAATGAATCGTTCTCAGCACCTCATGCTCCTAACCCATCAGGCCTCCCTTCCTTTCCCTCACTTGTCTGTTATCCCTCCCTCCCTCTCTCTCTCTCAATCTTTCATTCACTCCTTCTCTTTCCTCTCCCCCTGTCTCCAGGCTGCCCATGTGTGGCCCCCAGTCTCTGCCTGTGCTCGTCGCCTGGTGATGATGTCACTTCCTGGAGTTGCGCTCATCCTCCTCGTTCTCCAGCTGGTAGGCGGGCCGGTGCCTGACCACGCCCCTCTCGTCGACGAATTGCAGCGCTGGGTTCCTGGTGGTGTTGTCCATGCTGCCCAGAGAGGTGTAGCTGAGAGGAAAAGTGAGAAGAAGACTGGTTGATGGCGTACCGACACCGCACGAGGCAGAGAGAGAATCAAAGAGAGGGATATAAAGAGGGGCGCCACAGTGGCACAGTGCACTGGGTCCCTGGGTTCAATTCCTGGGCTTCTGTCTGTGTGGAGTTTGCATGTTCTCCCCGTGTTCCTGTGGGTTTCCTTCAGGTGCTCTGGTTTCCTCCCACAGATCAAAGACATGCTGGTGGGTTAACAGGCTTCTGGGGAAACTGGCCCTGGTGTGAGTGTGTGTCTGCGTGTGTGTGTGGTGTCCTGCCCCGTGCCTGTTTCCCTGTACCGGATCGAGCAGTGGGAAGGTGGATTGATGTAGGAAAGGGTGAGAGAGACCAGAGACAGAGACAGCGGGTACTCTTACCCCTTATCGTACAGGATGCAGTAGGGCACGTACAGGGTGCGCAGGAACTCCCAGATATCGTGGTAGCTCCAGTCCTGAGAGACAGAACACACGCTCTCATCCTGACTGTGAATCACCTTCCACACCTGGACTGGGCCCCCCGACAGTGGGAGGTGTGGTGGTAGGTACTTGTCTTAATAATCATCATCATCATCTTTACACTTATATAGCGCCTTTCTGGACACTCCACTCAAAGAGCTTTACAGGTAATGGGGATCCCGTCCACCACCACCAGTGTGCAGCCCCACCTGTGTGATGCACCAGTACTCTCCCCACACACCAGCTCTCAGTGGGGAGGAGAGCAGAGTGATGAAGCCAGTTCAGAGAGGGGGATTATTAGGAGGCCATGACTGGTAAAGGCCAGGGGGAAATCTGGCCAGGTTACACCCCTACTCTTTTCGAGAAATGACCTGGGAGTCTCCCATCCTGGTACTGGCCAGGCTCACTCCTGCTGAGCCACGGTAAGATTTAGGTCTTTAGATCTTGTATTTAGATCTAGACAGAAATAAGGCAGTTGTGCAGGTCTCCCCACAAGACTTCTGCACGCAGAGACACCTCTGTGTACCCACTTTACTGCTGCAGTGTCTGTCCCTGCTTCATTCCCAGCTGTCCTAGACTGTCCTTTACTGATCATTGACGTTTTATTCTGTACTGAATACTATTTGCTCTTCCGAGGTGCAGTTCCGGGACTCACCAGCAGGGGGTTCACGCGCATGTAATGTGGCCAGCCGGGGTCAGTGGGGCACAGCGGGGTCAGGGTTCGCGAGTAGGGGTCCGTGCGCCGCGTTCCCATCAGGACAGCCTGCAGCTCCGGGTGCTGCTCCTGGACGTCGATGAGAGCCTGCCGGATATTCCCTTCCACCATGTACACCTCCAGGTCATACCTGCGGGATCGAACCCCTTGTCATCACTCTAATCCGGGACCCGGAAGGGTAGGGGGTGAGGGGGGGTCCCAGATTCTCTTCTCAAGCACATGCTTTATTTTGCAGTTATTGCCTGTTCCCTTCCTACTGCTCATTCAGTAGTAATGCTTCAGGCCCACTGGCCATCCTCTTCTTTAAAGAGGAGGATTTTCAGAAGTTACAGTGTGTGTGTAGGGTCCCCTGCTACAGACAGGGGCGCACACTGCAATGCCTCCTGTCGCCACACGGGGGAGAGAGAGACGCTGCACACTGGAGACTGATGATCCCAGTGCGACCACAAGCAGGGGACAAAGAGCCAGAGCACAGCAGCACAAGGAAGGAGGGCTATTTCTTCCAACACCTCTGGAGCCCTGTCTACCATCGACCTGGGCGACTCACCTCTTGATGGTGTCCTTCAGGAAACGCTCCATCTCAGGAAAGGGAGACACGATGCGTATGTACAGCGCCTTGACCCTGTCCTCAGCCTGAGGGAACTTCCTGCGAGACAGAGGGACAGGCCGGCAGAGGCAGAACCTCAGGATTCATTCACATATAGAGGCTAGTGACAAGACACAGAATCTCACAGCCACACAATCACTCCCTCTCTCTCCTCCTCGTCTCTCTCTCTGCCTGTCTCACCTCCTCAGAGCAGCCCTGTCTCTCTCCCTGCTTGTCTCACCCCCCCCAGAGCAGCCCTGTCTCTCTCTCTGCCTGTCTCACCCCCTCAGAGCAGCCCTGTCTCTCTCCCTGCCTGTCTCACCCCCCCCAGAGCAGCCCTGTCTCTCTCTCTGCCTGTCTCACCCCCTCAGAGCAGCTCTGTCTCTCTCTGCCTGTCTCACCCCCTCAGAGCCCTGTCTCTCTCTCTGCCTGTCTCACCTCCTCAGTACAGCGTAGTACAGGTGCAGCAGGGCTGTACAGTCTTTGCCCCCGTTGAAGCCCACGCAGATCTGGCTGGGGGGGTACTGCTCCAGCGCCGTCTCGATGGTCTGCACGGCCGACGCCACCTTCAGGCCCAGGGCGGTACCTGCGGGGCAGAGGTCACAGGTCACAGGTCACAGGTCACAGGTCTCGCCCCCGCCTGTTGCGCCCCAGACACACACACCCCCCCGCCCCGCCTCTCACTCACCGGACTGCGCCAGCCGGTACACCTCCTGCGTCGCCACGGCGACGGGCTCGGCCACCAGCGGCACCACGCAGCCGGGGGGCAGGGCGTCCAGCAGGTGGCGCCGCGCCTCCTCCACGCTCTCGGCGCTGTCCGAGTCCAGGGTGAGCCGCACGCGGTGGTAGTTGCTGAGCCAGTCCGGGTACGAGCCCAGCCCCACGCGCCGGCCGAACCGGGCCTGGGCGCGGGCCAGCGCGGGCGCCAGCGCCGCCTCGTCGGCGTCCACGAACAGCTCCCGCAGGTGGAAGCGGGTGCCGGGGCTGGCGAAGAGGTGCCGCAGCCCCTCGAAGGCCGCCTCCAGCAGGGAGGGCACCCCGGGGAAGATGTAGACGTTGTGGGCGCTGACCAGCGGGAAGCGCAGCTGCCTCCCGGTCGCCGGATCGGCGCCGTAGTGCAGCCGCGCCGACGCCGGCACCAGCGCCAGCTTCATGGGGGCGCTCCCGGGCTCGGACACGCCGAAGAAGCCCTGCACCAGCCGGGCCAGCTCCGGGTGGGGGTGCAGGGGCTCCCCGAAGGCCTGCGCCACGGCCGCGAAGGTGACGTCGTCGTGGGTGGGGCCGATGCCGCCGGACGTCAGCAGGAAGGTGTGGCGGGGGGCCATGGCGGCGATCTCGGCCGCGATCTCCCCCACGTCGTCCGGGACCACCGCCACGCGGCGCACGCTCACGCCACTGGCGCGCAGGCCCCGGCACAGGAACCAGGAGTTCGTGTCCTGGGTG